TGAAGGATTTGGGTTTGCTTAAGTATTTCCTAGGCATTGAGGTTGCTCGGAGTCCCGAGGGCATCTTTCTTTCACAACGAAAGTATGCTCTTGATATTTTGACTGAGGCAGGAATGTTGGGTTGTAAACCCATTGATACTCCGATGGAGCAGAATCATCGTCTTGCACTTGCCTCCGGTGAGCCGTTTGTTCATCCAGAGCAGTATCGTCGTTTGGTTGGTCGTTTGGTTTACTTGTCGGTCACTCGACCGGAGTTGAGTTATTCAGTGCATGTTTTGGCACAGTTTTTGAGTGTTCCTCAGGTTTCTCATTGGGATGCGGCCATTCGTGTCTTGCGCTATCTTAAGGGTAGTCTGGGACAAGGTATTTTGTTGCGACCTACGAAGGATTTGCAATTGACAGCTTTTTGCGATAGTGATTGGGCGGCATGCCCCTTGAGTCGGCGTTCTTTGTCAGGTTATTTTGTTTTCCTAGGTCGCTCCCCTGTTTCTTGGAAGACTAAGAAACAGCCTACTGTAGCCACATCCTCTTCTGAAGCTGAATACAGGTCTATGGCTTTTACTTCTCGTGAGTTGAAATGGTTGAAAATGTTGTTGTTTGTTCTTGGTATTAAGCATTCAAAGCCTATGCAGTTGTTTTGTGATAATCAGTCGGCTTTGCATATCGCTAAGAATCCAGTGTTTCATGAACGTACGAAACATATAGAGGTAGACTGTCATTTTGTTCGTGATGAGTTGATCAACGGTAATATTTCTACCTCATATGTTTCGACAGGTAATCAGTTGGCAGATATTCTCACCAAGGCTCTTGGACGGCAACAGTTTGGTTTTCTCTTACGCAAGTTGGGCATTCGTGATTTACATGCTCCAACTTGAGGGGGAGTATTAGAGTTTGGTTTTTCATATATGTTAATATTGTATATTTGGAAAGTTTATCTTATTTAGGAGTTTTAGGCAAGTTAGGTATTCTATTGTATATTGGTATATATTTGTGATTAATAGAATACAGAAGGCTAAGCCGTTTTCTCCCATATTTCTCCACTTTATCACTTTCCAAGCTAAGCATACCAATTATTCCAAGTGACAATTTCCTTGGATCGCCGTGTCTTTTTTTTTTTGTATGTTTATTATTATTAGTAGTAGTAAAATGTTATACATAACCCTTAGGGCTACATATAATCATTAAAAACGCTTTTGAAAATTGTATAAATTTAGAAAATCATGACAAAAACACTACACTAATCTACGCGTGTTTTTGTCATGAATTCCTAATTTTATACAATTTTCAAAAATATTTTTAATGCTTATATATAGCCCTAAGCATTACCCTCATAATAATAATAATAATAATAATAATAATATTATTATTATTATTATTATTATTATTATTTCACTTTGGTTTTTACGCTATTTAAATGTCTTGATTTGAGATTTTGACTACGGAGTACATATGTTTTTCACTTTTATTACAACTAAACAAAAAAAAAATAAAAAAAATTACATAGTATTACATAAAGTATTAAGGTTATAGAGAGTATTATTATGCATTGTATACAATCTATAAAAAATAAAAAATAAAAAAAATTGAAAAATGAGTAACCAAAAAACGGAGTAGAAGGGAAAGACAGACGTGAAGAAGAAGACTAAAATTGTAATTTACATGTTTGCTTACGAGAATGATGAAGAGTGCATTCAAGTTTAGAAGGCCGCATTATTTGGCTTTGACTGGTAGAAAATATTATTTGTTTAGTCAACAGTCAAACTCTATGAATGTTACCTGTCCTAGAAGAAAGCTTTGATTTATCATTATTTGTGGCAAAAGATGTGGGCTAAATGAAGGCGACTCTCTCCCATTATACAAGTATGTTTTGCTATTCTTGTTAAGTTTTTCTTGTGTGTGTCTTTTCATTTTGATCCTTCAAGGAATGGACACTACCTAACAATCTACTCCATAGTAATCTACAACTCCAAGTTTTGATGACTAGCAAGAATTACTCGCAAATATTATATGATACGGTCTTATGAAATTGATTTTGATACAGGAAAATTAGTTACGAAAGATATTTGTGGTTTGTGTTTTTTATTTGTTTTATTGAAGAGACTTTTAATTTATTCAATTATGGTTATAAAAGAAAAAATAAAAAATGCATGATTATTATACGAATTATACATTAGTCAACCATAAAGAATTATTGGGTTTAAATCCTTTGACAAATGTAAGTCTCCATCATAGTTATTTTACAAATGAAATTATGTTAGTTGCCTGGTTAATTGCACCTAGAAAAGAAAATAAAAATGATGTTTGCCGGCCGTTTGGTTTGATCAAGAATACAATATTTCAGCATTATGATTTTAGGTCTATGATAAGAATTATTTCAACACAACACTATAAATTAATTAATTGTCAACTATTGCAAAAAAACTCCGAGGAGTAAAACATTTGATAAACCTTTGTAAGGATGCAAATTTCAAGTTGATAGGGAGTAAAATAAAATTAAGGTGAACATCAGGTAAAGTGTTACCAATTCAATTCGTGAAAAAGAGGTAAAACAATTCTTGCCGAAGCTATTGACTCAATAATGAGCAAAAACTACTCAAATCGATTCCATGATTGCATCGACAAATGCTAACAAGATTACCTATGAAGGTTCAAAGGCTTAATTGTAAAGTACTTGTTGTCATATTAACTTTAGTATGGATGTCCTCACCATTTAAAAATAAAAAAATAAAAAAAAATCAATTGACAATTCCTTCTTCAATCCCTTTTTTCAATTCTCTTCTACCAAAAAGCTAGAACAAAGAAATCAACTTTTAGTGATTGGTATTCAAATAGAAGTAGCTATCGAGCGTGTAATAGTTTTTCCCACAAACAATGATTCAAATGAAGTATCCGGTGACACGTACTAGAACTTGGCACAATTTTGAAATTTTGAGGTTTAAACAGAAGACAAAAAGGAAAGTCAAAGCAGTCCAATAGTATTATAACTTTTGTATGAAGGATGTGATTTAAGATATGCTAGCTAACAGCTAATCCACTAAACCGTAATTGATCAAAAAAGTATATTAGTCCATTCAGATATAATTACCTAGTTTGTATACTTGATCTTCCCTCAGCCTCCGAAGTATAGTATCAAGCAAAGGTTGATCTAATGGTAAAATTTGTTATCTCATTGCCTGTTTCAAACTTTACTAGCTAGAAGCACTTAATGGTGGGGATTTCTTATTCTTCTTCCCTCCCATTTCTAGAGGACCTAGCCTGTTAATTCGGACCGGATTGACCTATAATAGATTTAAGCTTAATAGGGTCTTTCTCTTTATCTATACAAATTGAAGTATTGTATTTTCTTCATTTAGAACGTCTCATTTTATATACTCTATACTTCATCTTTAATTTGTGTGTCTAAAGCAAATGAGTAATAGACTTTGAAACGAAAAAAAAAAAAAACTATTTTCAGATATTTATGAAAATTACTCGTTTACCCCTCAAAGTAAAGGCCACAAGATAGATATAAGACGACTATAACAAATGTTACTGTGATACAATCATGAAGAACACCTTACTTGTAAAGGTTAGCACTGGAGGTGTCAAAATCGCATCTGACTCGACCCGATTTAAAATCAACCCGGAAAATATTCGATTCAGATTTGAACTCGCGTGAACATAATAATTTAACATGATTCAGCTTTAAAAATTGACTTGGCCTGACCTCATCAAACCCGATCTAATCATCCAAATTGACACCTCTAGTTAGCTGAATAACAATTTACTCCAATAGACTATACTCCGTAGTAGAGAACAACACATTCAAATAGCAAAGGGGGTAAGGTGAAGACTTGAGAACCTTGTTACAATGACAAGATTTACAACTATACTATTATAACCCCACAGTATTTCTGTTGCCTTTTGTAATGTGATTGCAAAAGGTTTCCAAAAGTGTTTCTAGTAATCATAGTTGATCGTTTTGCATCATGAGCAAGTGAGATGATAACAGAGGTACCTCATTAACACAGCTTTTAATAAAATTACAATGATAGGAAAAGAAAAAAAAAAAAAAAGAAAAAGAAAAGAAAAGAAAGACATAGGTTGAAAAGGGATTAAAAAGGAGATTACATTTTCATAGTTCACGGTCAAAAAAGACGTGTTTGTTACTAAAAATGTTCCAACCAGGCAAACAAGGAGGATTTGGCTTAACGCACTTGCTCGTATAACAGAAGTACCACTCACTTTATATCTCTTATGAAGAATTTGTTTTTTTCCCAAGTATTTGCCAACTGCTTTCACATGGATTCTATGACCTACCAACTTTGTTCCCACTTTCTAATCATCTCAATTATGAAAGTATTATAATTATAATCAATTATTAGTACTATAAGTTATTACAGAGTATGTTTTAAACTAATTCACATTAAAACAAGCATGATAATGGTACTAGATATTTATTCCAACACAAGAAATTTTAATAATATACTTACAACAATAGTAATATAAACGCATATTGATGATGGGTCTTAATAAATCATGTCAAAACACGACCTCACGTAGAATATTTATACGTACCTATTTTTCCAGTGTTACATACCATTGATAGAATACAACTGACACAAGATCAGACTTATCACTTAATTTGAACCAGTAAGTACTACGTATGGTTAATGTAAGATCATCAAAATGAATTTACATTCTGTTTAAGGCATTGTCCGAAGAACTTGGTAGAACTTGTACATGGTTTTGAATTATCGAAGATGGGACATGACTCTTCAAAATGTTTATACTTCATTAATTAGCTTCAAAGGTCATTCCTCAATGTGCTAGTCAAATTACTCAGTCCACCTCTCAGGTCCTAACAGGTTAGTCCCCAACTCCCCGAGTTCAGCCGTAGAAAATTGCCCCCTTTGAAAGGAAAGGGAGGGGTTGAACTCAATACCTCAAGGTCACGGATTTATAGGGACTTTCCTTGCTTGAGAGAGTGACAAATGTATCAAGAGAGTTTTGGACAAATATAAAGAGCAACAAAAACATACTAAGTAAATCCAGTACAAAAAGATTTGAATAGCACAAACAAGAAACAAAGCTAAGGACATAATTCTACAATGTAAAGCGATGAGAAAATGCATACATTACAACAAAGAATTTCCTCAGAAAAAGCTCATAAAGAACTGTCCATCTCCCGCACTTTAAACTTATTTCAAAGAAAAATCATACTGAACCATATTTGTGCCACCATCAGGAAAAATTGTCACTCTGTCATCATACAGGAAGTAATACTGCAGAAGATAGACACGGGGTAACAAATCTGCGATCTAAAATTCTAAGCTACATATGTGGCTCTAAGAAGCATCTAATATATAGCTCAATTGACATAACCCTCACAGATTAGAGGCTATTCACCTTATACTCCCGTCCCATAGCATACATAAAACGGTTTATTGCTTAACAATTTCCTGTAAAAAATCCATTCAACATAAATCAGCGTACTAGAAACATATTGGCATAACAATATCTCATCGACTTTATTTTTCAAATTGATTGAAAATCCAACTTCAGTAACAGTCCAATTTATTACAGTATTATTTTATATAATTTGCATCAACTTTTCTTTTTAAATGAAATAAATAAAATTTCTGAAGTTTAGTTACTTACAAATTTGCCAAAGGTTGTAAATTTTACCACTTCAGCATTATAGCAAAAAAAATAAAATAAATAAATAAATAAATAAACCTCAAAATAAATAAATTAACATATTAGCATGGCTAAACTTCAAAATGAAAAGAAAAAAAAGTATACTCATGCAATTTAATAACAATAATAATAATAAAGAAATTAACTCACGTATTGCATCAAGATATATATATATATATATATGTATATATATATATACATATATATGTATACATATATATGTATATATATGTATACATATATATGTATATATATATATGTATATATATATATATATAGGAAGGCTCTCGTGAGAAATTTTCTTATGTGAGAATACTCTTTATGTTCTAAATTTTTACTCGCATGTTTCTAAATTTTAAATCTGATGTTCTAAACTTTTCCTTAGGTATTCTAAATTAAATCAAATGTTCTAATTTAGTACTCACATGTTCTAAACCATAAATTAGTTAAGTTCGATGTCATAAATTTTAAATAACTTGTTCCAAAATTTTAACTTGTATGTTCTAAATTTTAAAACGTGTGTTTTAAGATTTTTAATTATATGTTCCAGATTTTAAATTGTATGTTTTATTTTTTTTACTCGTATGTTCTAAATTATTTACTCACACTTTCTATATTCTATATCAGTTTGTTCTAAATTTTTATTCACATGTTCATAATCTTAAATCATATGTCTAAATTTTACTCATATGTTTAAAATTTCATAAAGCAAATTTTATAAATTTTTAATCACTTGTTCTAATTCTTAAATCAGATGTTCTAAACAAATTACTCACACAAATGTTCTAAATTATTACTCATATGTTCAAAATTTTAATTTGAGTCACATGTTCTAAATTTTAACTCGCATGTTCTAAATTTTAATTCACATGTTCTAAATTTTTACTCACATGTTCTAAATTTTAAATCAGTTCTCATATAAGTATGAATTCTCACATATGGACCTATTCTCACCGGATCCCTCCCCTATATATATATATATATATATATATATATATATATATATATATATATATATATATATATATATATATATATATATATATATATATAAAACAAAGAAACTACCTCAAAAGCTTATGCTGCTGCTGCCATTGGTACTGCTCTATAACAAGCCCGCTTTGCAGCACGTACGATATCTTCAATCTGGTGTATCCAATCAGCAAAGCAACAGGAGATCGTCAAAAATCAGAGCTAAATAACCACCCTCAGATATCAACCAAGGAACTCAAGTAATATCTGTTAAATATTTTTGAAATGACTAACAGACATTGCTAAATAAAAATCTGAAAGCAACATGCATTCACACAAACATGATACACAGTAAAAACAACCTGTGGTAGAGCCATTTTCTCAAGGTTGGGTGCATAAGGCATTGGTACGTCGGCCCCAGCAATCCTCTCAATAGGTGCATCAAGATAATCAAAGCTATCCTCAATAACAGATGTACTGTCAAGAACATCAGAGAATGTGAACAGGTGCAGCAAATCAAGTAACTCGAGAAGATAAAGAGAAACAGAAAACTCACATCAGCCTTAATATATTCAGGTAAGCTGTAAGCAGATTAGTCTTAGTATTTTCCATAAAAACCACATGTTTGAAATGTGAAAGGGAAGAAAATTAATGAATCAGACGTGATGTCTCATCGACACACTTAATTCTGTAGTTCTGCTCTTATAGTCTAATTTAATTATCAATTATCACTATCAGGCACTTCAGGCATAAGAGAGCATTAGTGAACTCTAACGAAGTAGGGTTCTAAGAGCTAGATTGTGGGGATGGTTTAATAGCTAATGTGAAAGATTTTCTAATTGAAAGTGGTGAATCTGCTCTGGAAATGGTGAAAAGGAAACAATGTTGAACATCTCCTTAGAGACTGCTCCTCTTCTAGTCACATCTGGAAGGCAGGAAGCTTACGAATCTTCTATGATAGCAGTATAAGTAACTAAAAATAGTAAAATGAATTTGTCATTTGTTGAAATTTCTATGAAAGGACAAAAGGAACGGTAATTTTCAATTCGTTAAATTATTATGTCCAGTGTTCCACCATACACTATAAACCTCACCCTATGAGGAATTTGGGGAGTCCAATTACTCCAAGCTTTCCTACACACACCTTGGGGATTATGTTTCATATTTAGTTCAAGATAACACTCATATTAGGATAATATGTTAAGATATTAAGCTTTAAAGCATATTGGTATAGAAGCATAAGTTTACAAGCTATTCAGATTACAAGGAATGTATGTTCCTCGTAATTCCTCAAAACCCCTCTCCAATACCCAGACCAAACATCAAGAGAATAAAACACAAAAGATTCATGATGGTGAGATCTTTGTATTTGACAAGTAATGACCAATAAAATAGTATGAAATATTTAAGAAATAGAGATTCCTTGCCACTAGCTGATGCAATCAGCAAAGTACTCACGCTGTCTACCCTAAAGACTACAGCATTTACGGACACAGCAGGTCAAAATGTGGTTATCCTAGTTGAATGATGACTTACACAACTATCCAGTAACACCATGAACTTAAGAAAACATCCTAATCATGTCATAAAAAGAGAACAAACCAGATTTCAGCTCCAACACCATGCTGTGGGAACCCTTCTTCAACAGTTATCAATCTGCTTGTTTTCCTGACAGAATCATTGATCAATGCTCTGTCCAGAGGCCGAATTGATCGTAAATTAATGACCTGAAAAATAATAAAATCATCAAAATAAAAACATGTTCAATCAAGATCAAATGTGATTAGGATTTTTACCTCAGCACTTATTCCTTCTTTTTCCAGTATCTCAGCTGCCTGGACATTAGTAAAGGGTCAGAAATATAATATTTAGATGACAATATCCATCTTAAACAAGACGCATTTATACATTATAAGCATTGTGTAATACATGCTAAGGATCTTTAGCAACATGATGCAACATATAACAAGTGTTGAATTAAGCAAAAAGACATGCAGACCATCATACATGTTCACAAAAAGGGGATGAAGAAATATTGTTCACTAACCTTGAGAGAAAAACCCACCATCTTTGAGAATGCTGTTATTGTCACATCCTTCCCTTCCCTTTCAATCTATAGGTCAAAAAAGAGCAGTAATGCAACATATTCAGAAATACAAGAAGTGAAACAATGCAACATGTTGTACAATAAATTTCAATAATCTAGATTAAGGATGATACCTTGGCCTTTCCAATAGGGACAGTAAAGTTGGGATCTACAACTTCATCAGAAATCGGAAATGACTCTCCATATCTAAAGACATATAATCAGTTAAGAAACTAAATCAACCATCACACGGACGCAGCAGAGAGATATGAACTACGTACAGTATTTCATTCTCCAGAAAAACAACTGGATCAGGATCCCTAATGGCTGCCTTTAACAATCCCCGAGCATCCTCGGCTGAGTATGGAGACAAAACCTTCAATCCAGGACAAGAGCCATACCATGGTGCATAACACTGCAAAAAATTTAGGGGAAGATCACTAGTGAGAACAGACATAATATATATGGCTGGAAGTTAAGAGGAGACATAAGATTGTTCTTAACAACATCACTCCCACTGACTTCCTGTAAGTAATGATTAACTTCCAACTTAAATTAAAACAGAATAGACATGCCTGGGAATGCTGGGCACCAACTCCTGCAGCAGCACCATTAGGACCCCTAAAAACAATGGGAACAGTGATCTGGCCTGCAGACATGTAGCATGTTTTTGCAGCAGAGTTTATAATGTGGTCAATTGCCTGCCATAAATTAAATAGAGTTTAGTCAATACATACATCATTTACCTAACATCTAAATTCTAAAGTCTAAAAGAAACAAAGAAAAATAACAACAAAGTACATGCTTTATAAACTAGCATGAAGCCATGTACAATCAAAAGTTCAAACATTCATGCTATACAGCCTTTCTTCCCATGCATAGAGAAATTCTATAAGCGGACATCAAAGAATCTGAAAATCTGGAATTTTGTGCTACTTGTCTGACATAATGATCTGACGCCTTCCCAATTTAGTATGGAGCTACAGATGTATGGAGTATGGATTACAAAACAACATTCAATAGATTCTAGGAAACTTTGTTTTAAAAAGTGTGAAAGGAAGAGAGGTTGTAACCTGCATAGCAAAATTAAAAGTCATGAACTCCACAATAGGCTTCAGGCCATGGAAAGCAGCACCAACACCAATACCAGTGAAACCAGCCTGTAGGACAAAAGATGAAAGAATGGTTAACCCCAAGTTAGTATTGTGCAGGCATCCAAGATACAGTCAGACTACAACAACAACGAGCATGAACCAAGTGGAAAAGCCTGACCTCTGTGATTGGTGTGTCAATAACTCTATTGGGACCATACTTGTCGAGCAATCCTTTTGTGATCTAAGTAAACAAAATTCAAACCGGAGAGATGTAGAGTAAGGTAACAATTAGCAATTCTCTCAGAGAAATTCCAAACTACAGACATGTCAACACCCTTTATTTCATCTCTTTAATAAGTTTTACCTTATAGGCACCTTGATATTCCCCAACCTGCATATAAAATTATGTACAATTAACAAACTTCGGAAGGTAATAGGAAAAATTCCATGGATAATATTTCTAAACAAATTCTAAATACCTCTTCTCCCATCAAAAATACTTTAGGATCAGCACCCATCTCCTCGTCAATCGCAGAGTTAATGGCATCCCTAACCATCATCTGTGATCCAACATGAAAAATTACACATATTTCCAACAAATTTGAAGTGGAAAACAAGAACAAAAGCAGGACGCGGACCTAGCATAGAACAGCATTATGAACTAAAGCAACTTCTATCCAACATACAAAAGTAATAACCAACACATATAAAAACCAAAAACCTAAACACATTTCATAAACAAATCAAATATACAACTAACACATCTTTCAAATGTATATCAGAAAAGACGGCAATAACAACAAGAGAAGACGACAACAATTCCTTGAAGATGAGTCTAGGGTGGTATCGAATAGAACACTAAAATTTCAGTCAATTTTCACTCCATATATACAAAACATTGTAAAATCAAACTTAGAACCTTGAAAATAAAGAAATAAATTACAGGAAAATAAGAAAAACGACCTGTTTTCCAGAAGATGAGTAGCTTCTCAAACCCAAAACAGCAGGTCTAATCCTCTGCAACTGCAATTCATAATAATTCCATCATTTTCATCACCAAATTTAATCATGAACATAACTTTCAAATTAAATAGTACACAAAATTGAAAATTTCCACAAACCGATTGAGAGAAGCTTCCAGAAGCAAACTTCTGCCTCATAATTCCCATCATATTTGCAATTTTATAAAACCTAACGCAAAAATCAGACGAACACGAAAATTTAAAAACATAATCAAATCAAATGATATAATTTAGAAAATCAAATAAGATTCACGTATGATTCAACAAAATTAACAACCTAATATATTTTATAACCTATTTTGCATGAAAATTGCAAACTTTAACACCATAATTTAAGAAAAAGCCTAAAAAAACGCAGAATCCAAAGAATCATGAAAAAATGATGAAAAAATAGTGAAAATCGAAATCAAAGAAAGAAATGGCGACGTACGTTGAGCTTGGTAGTAGAAGATTAACGAATTGGAGGATGATCGCCTTCTTCCTACTGATTCTGGGAATGTTTTGATTAATATAATTATGATTATTATTATAATATAATGTCGATTAATTAAATGAAGGAATCAATTGAAATGAATATGATTATGCTATTTCTTTTTTCCTTTTCTTCCCGACTTCCCGCTGTTTGTTGCGATTTGGGCCCTGGCTTGGGCCGGCCTTCTACTAGTAAGCTGTCAAATTGGGTCTGTAGTTGGTTACTTTTCGAGTCATAACGAATAAAGTTAACTGTTTTTTCACCACATACCCCTCAGCTTTTTGTTTATTCACCATAAACCCATGAAAATTTTTTAATTCACCATATACCGCTAAGTTGTTACAGAAATTCACTACATACCCATATAATAAGAATTAGATGAGTGTAATTTTATTAATTATGCATCGAAACCACCTTAGATCTCTCTCTTATCACAAAATCACTCATCTCCTTTTTACAGCCCTCGAAACCACTCCACATCTCCAAAGCTATATCCGTATGATTGATTTTGAGGATGAGAAAATGAAATTTAGGGGTGGGAAAAGGGATTTAGGTGGTTTCGGGGGTTGGGGAATATATTTAGAGTGGTTTCGGTTCATAATTAACTCTAATGATTGACAAAATTAACAATCATTAGTCATCAAGGGCATATGGTGTATTTTTGTGAAAACTTGAGAGTATATGATGAATTTAAAAAAGTTTAGGGGTATATGGTGAATAAACAAAAAACTTAGGGACATATGGTGAAATTTTTTATTGCAAAAAACTTCTTCCATTTCATAATATTAATCTCATTTATGTATATCGATGCAAATCTTTGTTTGCAAATATCTTTAATGTCACACTAGCAAAAATTATAAAAATTAGATATTAATAAAGTATTTATCAAGATGAATAAAACCAGATCTCATATGATTATGTTTGTTATTATATATAAAGAGAAATTTAGAAGATTCCCTCAAATTTTAAGAGTTAAAGATTTTAAATAGGACTAAGGCCCCGTTCTCTTCATCTTAATTTTGCTGAACTGAAATTATTTTTACTGAACTGAAATTATTTTTGCTAAATTTAAATTATTTTTATTGAACTTAAATTAATTTTACTGAACTTAAATTATTTTTGCTGAACTGAAATTATTTTTACTAATTTTCTATTATAATTCTTCTTTAATAAAACTGAATTTTGCTAAACTGAACTTATTTTTACTGAACTGAAATTAATTTTACTGAACTGAATTTATTTTTACTGAACTGAAATTATTTTTACTTAATATTATTTTTTTAAGGTGAAGAGAACAGGGCCTAACATTATGAAGCAGATGGAGTAGCTCAATGTGTCCTTATAAGTTAGGTCTATACTTGCCCTTAGGGCCTTGAGTACCCACAAACTCAACTTTGACAGCTCATATAACCAATTAGGGTTGTGCATAGTACGGTCTAGACCGCACCAAACCGTAAACCAAACCGCAATTTTGTGGTTTGGTGCGGTTTGCGGTTTGAAAATTACGGTGCGGTTTTCAAATTTGACCAAACCGCGGTTTTGCGGTTTGGTGCGGTTTCAAAAAAATTTCAAACCAAACCGCACCACAAGCCGTAATTTAATGCAAAGACTCTTATATGGAAAGAAGACTCTTATATTGTATTTATATGTACTTAATTGTGTGGGTCATTATTAAGAAAACCAAAGTTTTCCTTTCTTATTACTCTCCGTTTCTTGTGCTTTGGAGTTGTAATGGAGTGGTTGTGGTTTACTTAATGATTTTGCTCCATGTTTGCCTTGGCATGTTATTGGGTCACTATTAACATTGAAGTAAAGCACTACTTCTTTATTGAATTATTTGCATAGTTGTACAGTTTCCAAGTAAAAATTTCATAACAAAAGATTAGCAAATAATCATTATTTGTGAGGTAAAAAAATTATGGAAAAACCGCAAACCGCACCGCACCAAACCGTATTTTGCGGTGCGGTTTGGTGCGGTTTGTATAGAATAGCGGTTGGTGCGGTTTGAAAAAATTACAAACCGCACCGTGCACAGCCCTATAACCAATCATTGTTTCAGCAGCGAGTATCATCACCAAGGATCACAATGGCATGGCAACAACGTCAAATACTTTAAACCTAGCAGCGATACTGCTGAATAGCTAAATAGAAAGGTGTTCTAGTATGAATAACAATCAAGGAGGACATCTCTTATATAATCATCAAAACTGACAACCTTCTAATTATTAATTGCATCAAATATACAAAAATTCAATATATTTTTCAAGAAGAATATTGAGTAGTTAATTGGATGGCGAAAGTAGGTTACCTTGTAAATACCATAATGTATATTAATTATAAGTTTGTAACAGTAGTCCTCAACGGCTCAATCTCTCTCGATTTTTCTTAGTGATAAAATTAGGCTTACACCTTGAGCAAGTGGCCCTAATTGTAATTTGTACAATTAAAGACAATGATTACTCGATATTCTTTTAATTTTATTTATTTATTTGTGTTTTTAGAGAGCTACAAAGGCTGAGTGATGAGAATCTATCTCAGGATCTAGAGTCGGGAGGAAAACTCTAACCACTTGAGCTATCCCTCACTCTCACTCAATATTCTTTTAATAATATGTCAAGTAGAGGTGGCAATTCGGGTTCGGGTTAGATATCGAGTTATGCTTAGAAACTATAAAAATAGTGTAAAACTTAATATTATCACGAAATATGAAAGTTGGGTCAAATCGGGTCGAATTCAAGTTGTTTGGCTTGGATCGGATTCAGATTTCTCTCAGTAATTTCAGGTCATGTTATTAGGTCGGGCCAGGGTTTGCCATCCCTAATCTCAAGTCGAGTTCGAGTTTGAGTTCATGTCAATTTCACCCGAACCAAGTCGATTAACGTGCGAGTTGTATGATTGTATCCATCGATCCATCCTTCATTAGCCGTATCAGCATCCCTAATTTTCCCACAACAAGAACGGAGGCAATGCCGCTCAATGCGAGTGTGTAGTGTACCATTTCATTCCCTTCTAATCCACGAGCCCCCCAAATCGCAGCCTAACTTCAAACACAAACACAAACACTCGAACTCGCAAATTCTCCAGAAGATCGAGCTACAAACAACGGCTTTACTGGGCTCGGAGTAAGAGAGAGAAAATGGGAGGATTGGGAGCTTTCTGGGGTACAAGAATGATGGAGATTGTGAAAAAACACGATTCTGGTGGTCTTCTTTGGAAGAGAATCAAGCTCACTTCTACTCGTAAGGCTAACGCTAAGAAACGTCTTCGTCGTGTTTGGCAGGTTCTTTTCTCTCTCTATCCCTTTTTTCTTATGCTTTAATGGAGTTTCTATCTTTCTTGATTGTGTTGTTTAATTGATTGATTGGTTGATGTTGCTATACTTCTTTGATACCCTTAAACCCTATTTTGTCCTAGGGTTTATCATCTACAAACCCTTTATTCCTCTTTGCTCATATTCAATTGTGGATTAACTAATTGTCTATTTGTGGAACTTACAATGTGTAGTGTAGTTATCATTCATTGGGAGAAATGTATGAACTTTAATATGATATAGTTGCTGAATTTAACAATTGATGCCTATTTCGTTGTCGAATTAGAGTAGTTTTCCCTTTTTTCGAATGCTTGACCACATCAATGATATAGATTAAGTTATTAGTCTGTTACCCATCATTACCTTCTTCGTTAGAGATGTTTTTCCTTACACTGTATTGCAAGATCAATGTATGTCTAATTAATTGTGATCAAGGAGATGCGTTTTAGCAATCTATAGTTTGGCAAATTTTTGAGTTTTTGATGTTCCACGACTGGTAGAGGGCAATCCAGTGAGATGTACATATCAGTTATTGAATTTGGAATCAACCTAGTAACGGCCCTTTCTGCTCTGTCAGCTGTTAAAATAAACGAAAACATCTTATACTTGGGTCTCAATAAAGTGCTATTCCTTTTAACAGTTACTGTACTTAGAATGAACACAACATCAGCTTTATCTGGGTCTGAGAGTGAGGGGAAAAGAGTTTATACTAGTAGGAAATTAGGAATGTAAGATGCTTGTTGGAGTCTTAGGAGACGTGGTTATTGTGGAGTACTGGAGTTGGGGCCATGGAATAGGATTGAGGAGAACATCTGGGACTAGTTTGTCAGGTTTGTATTGTCTAGTGTTTATATGAAAGGCCTCAATGATGCGCGAAGAATATGCAGAAACTGCCGGTCTTGTGTGCTGTGGAAAACACTATAGGCACTTGTTTGGTGGACTTTAGACACGCTTTATCAATCGGAGCACAATTGCATGGAATATGTATATATATGCAGCACAATGTGAGGCTTTTTTATTTATTCTTTTCAGTAGAATTAACTTACTTTTAAGTTTCCATATGGGATTTATTTCAGATACCTGCAGGTAATTCCATCATGCTGCACTAGGACTATGACTAGCATTCCAAGATAAATTGGTTATAGCTCACATTTAATTGATCAGATGGATGATATGGCATTCCCAGTTTTCTAATGCAAAGTGTGGAAGTGTGAGGATCTATGTATGAATTATAATACTCCTTATTGGTTACCTTGTGTGGGAACAGGGAGCTGAGTAAGGCATATACTTTGTCATGAACAGTGTAAAAAGAAATAGGATTAACCAAAAGTGGGTAGGTAAGAGATAAAATATATGACATTGATATGTTTTTTGATGAACTGGATTATTGGAGTACTTTGGCAAGATTCAATAGGAATGAACAGAAAATATGTGAGAGAATTTAGACTAGCTTTAGCCTGTAAGTGCTATTCTGTATTTTTTTTTGTCCTAAGATTGTTATTTATCTACCTTTGTTTCATTCTTCTCGTCAAAGTGGTTTATGGAGCTACTTGGGGATAACCTCCAGTTGTTCATTAATGGAAACACTATAGAAGCAAAGTGTTACCTTTTGAGCATTACTAACAAACACAAAGCAATATTTTTCTTAAAATTGGGATGCATGACATAAATCAAAGTCCACTTTTAGTCCTTTCCTCGCAAATGTACATATGAGCTTAGTAGAAAACACTGAGTCATGTTCCATGATGTTTTTTGAGACGTTTTGTGATGTGAGTCGCCATCTAAGCTTAACTTTTGGGCAATAATCTAGAGTTGAGGGTTTCTAAGGGATTAAAAGAGATTTAATGTACTTGAATGTAAAATTGCGACAAAAGAAAAGCAACCAATTTTGTGGCCTGAGATCTGCTATATTGCCAATATCCCTCGGTGCCATTGAGCTAGTTTGTTAAGGTGATCACTCATGGCAAATGAATGGTTATATTGTTTGTGTTATAGAATGGAACCACATATACCTTCCGGATGATTATGAGCCCATCAAACCTAGCTCAGATGTAATCGGAATCCTTAGTTGGTCCCAGAGCCTTTGATGGCTAAGTCATATTCGGGAGAGAGAGTGCTGGAGTGTGAGCATTAAAAGTGTGGCCTTCCCCAAGTCATAAAGAGAATATGCTTTAGGTTTAACTACATAGGCAGGATTTGGGCCTATGGATCATATAATGATTGGTAACATGTAAATTGGCAAAAATGTTTTGTGTCAAAGTGGCCACAACAAATGTTTCGTCTCAATGATAAAATTTCTTGCCCACTTTTCGGTCCACTCGTTGTACTTGTACACATATCATGGCTTTTATCCTACGAAGCCCAATTTATAATATGACCCATACCCTGAACAGCCTAAGTCCACTCATGTTGCTAACCTATGTTACTTGGACTCGGATGAAGTGTCCTATTAGACACGGGTGTCCAAGTATCGGACTCGCCTATTTTCTTGAAAAAAATTTGTGTTTTTAGTTAAAATTGAAGTGTCCAAGTGTCGGTGTCGGTGTCCGACACGAGTCGTGTCGACACGGACACGTGAGGTAAATGAAAGAGTCCGAGTAACATAGTTGCTAACTATAAAACACATGGACTGTAATGTATCTTTCTTGGGGTTTAAGGTAAGGGAAGACTACACTTCCAATGGCAATGGTCATACTTCAGCACTCTCTCTACTCCACTCTGGGTCTCTGGCTAACTCATTTTGGTTATTGATCTGGATGTCAAATTCTGTGCCCTGGTGACCACTCCACAACCCGAAATTCATTTGCAAATTTGCAAGTGTATCATATGGATCCAATACCTAATGGACCTACAGTCATATCAGAATTGTTCAGGTATTGAGAAATGGTTTACCATTTACATTAAATTACATTAAATGTTTATATGACATGCTTAAAGTGTTTCATATACGTACTATAGAGATTTTATGGTGCTCGTAATGCAAATGCTAAGTTATTAGTGATTGAGACAGGGATGCTTCATTGCTTTGTTCTCTAGCAACTATAAGATTCTATTTTAGATTGTTACGTTGATTTGTTTTGTTTTATTAATGGTCATACACTCGTTCTAGATATAATGAAGTAAGGAAAGTAATTTGGCATATGGTGGGATCAAGACTTAAATGATTCAAGCATGTTAGACTGCTAGTTGAAGGAACCATGATGCCCAATAAGCTGTCGTGAGTGTATATCAAGGCTTCCAAAACAGGAAGAGATGGCCAAAGATGATTATAGGAAGTCGACTTGCTCATTTGGATCTCATCAAGAAAATGACCCTTGGCACAAATTTGTGACCTTTTTTTTGGGATTCTTGTAGCATTCTGCAAATAGGGTCTGTTGTTTGTAGCTTTTGTGCATTCAAATTACTCTTAAACATGATAACTATTCTCTACTGGCAGTTCTTAGTTCTTACGTGTGTTATTAAATTGCTTTGTGATGCCTATTTCTTTCCTAGCCTCTCTATGACTGCCATAATTTTTGCTTTTAGTGCTACTTTTAATATACTTTCTACTCACTTTTATTATAATTATTATTTGTTTTAAAATATTACTGTATTAACTTCACTACTATTACAGTATATATAATTTATCAATTTAATGCATTTGTTTCGTGGATCTTTTGAAATTAATGTCTGCTTGTTAGAGGGAAGTTCATCACTGACGATTACCATTATTTACTACTATTACTCTCATTTTCTCAGTATAATTGACATGTTGGACTTTTTTTCACTATCCACATTTTAGCTTTGACCATAATTTTTTTAGTAACGTATTAAAAGCAAATATATCATGAAATATGTAGTTAAATAGGTATTAATATAAAGCTTCACAATACTAATTATATATATATTTAAGGTCTAATTAGTGTATTGGCATATGTGCCGTGTTTGACTGTGTCAATTATTCTGGGATAGGGGGAGTACTATGGAGTATTTTGTGTTTACTCTTTCACTACAGGTTTTTCGAGGAATTTTATAAGTAGCTTATCTGCTTGTTAGAGGTACAATCGCCACTTAATAGTGGCAAGTTTACAACTTCACACTGTTTATGCTTGTACTACTTCAGTGTTTTTTGTTCAAATCACTTTCAGTTTGGGTTCGTGTTTTTTTTTTCCTACTCCTACTTTATCTAAATTTTGGTTAACCCCCTTTACTATCGTATCCTTCCCACCCCACAATACTTACACCTTTCCACTCGCATCCTTACTTTATCTACCTTTTCCGTACACCCACCCACCTTTTTGCTCTATCTCTTACTATATCCATTTCTTACAGTCACACTTTTTAAATTTTTTTACTCTATGTATCTACAATTAAGTAGAATTGTCACCCCTTTCTCTCCCTGCGTCCACCAAAAAGGACATATTATCAATCATATTCTATGTATCTTTCCTGATATTTCTCAACAACCTGCAATTAGATAGAACTTGAACGGCAAATCCCTTTTGATTAGAGAATCTTCTATTTGTGCTATTATCAATAGGAGCATTTTGCAGAGTGTATAGTCAACTGAATTGCTGCTATATAAGTTTACAGTTTTGTCTTCAATCATGTGCATTAATCATTTGCTTATTTAGGGTGGCCATAATTTAAACTGCAACTGCATATCTTGCTTGGTTACAGTTGGTGGTTGCTGACAGTAAGTTGCTACTGTAATCTGGAAATGTCCCTTTTGTCAGAATTTGGCAGGTTTTCTTGATGGTACAGTACAATGCTATCAATAAAAACAACCCTGCAGCCACTGCCTTGAATGCTTGTCTGCATATACTGTTTTATTTTCTACAAATATAAGTGTTATGTTATGTGGAGCCTGTGGTGCATGTAGTTATAGAATTTGGATGTTTGTCAGCTGTTTTGTTCATATTGAATTGGGTAGTCTGAATGATTGTAACTTGTATATCTTTATCTGACTTTGTTGACACACATAAATGTGTTATACTCACAAATAATTTTCACAGAATGAAGCAGTGCTTAAGGCTTGTTCGGATCAACCTCCTGCAAAATTAAATGGTCTAGACAATGGCATAGCAAGCAGTGGGGAGACCAGGCAAGATTCTTGAACAAATTTGAGGAATAGAGGATGATCTTAAGGGTGCACAATAGTTATTGTTTTTGTATCTTTATGAATATCTTTCCTGCTTGAATATTCTTGAATATTTACTGTGAAATTAGACCCCTAGTTCTTGGATAATATGATTGCTTGACCAGAATAATCTTATTATTAGGTAGCCCTGTCAAAATCATAGTATATTCAAACTTTACCTGGAAGGTTAAGCCTTTTGCGTCAAAGCTCTCAATTTTCACTTTGACTAGTAATGTTTCAGTTCTAACTTCAGTAGGCTGGTCAAAACAGTAACATCTTGGCGTTCATCCAGATGTCTTTTTTGTTTTGCATCACTAGATGAAATATAAATGGTATCATTTGTGAATTCTTACCTGAGTTTCCGTCTAGCATTGAGGGATTGTTTTTGTACATGGTTATCCTTACCGCTTGGTAATTTTTAGGAGTATGCTTTGATGAGTTATGAGATGAAATGATTTTTTTGGTTTATTTTAAAGATGATGCTGTTAATATTGGTGCTCTTGAACTGGTTTTACTATCCAATTTGAGCTGTTAGAAGGGCTGAGGATTTTTTATTGGGATGTGAAAGAGAGTTATTGCTAAATAAACATCGTTATAATCTGTTGTGAGCGGAAAACCTGACCGCATCTGGAGTATAAGGTATACTGGTGGTTGGATTTCCCCATTACTTTTTGCTGAACTTGAGGTGTAATGCCCTGTAAAGGCTAATTGGAAATTCCACTAAGTGTTGGGAAATAGAATTTATATATTCCTATGTCTTTGCTTGTTTGGCTTAGAATCAAATGAGTGCTTTTTTGTCAAGTTGAAAGGCTGAGGTTTTCATCTCAAAATTTGGTATTTGTTGGTAGTTGGTCATGGGACGATGCCCCTTCCTACTTCAAAAGGGTGTTGGAAGTTTGGGTCTACTTGGTGGAGTATTTGCCGTTTCAGCTTGTCTTTATGATGTACATCATCTGATGTAAATTGGTGGTCCATATCGTTATGAAATCGACTTTAAGGTTAGCCATAAACCTAAGAGACAATTCTCTTTAGACTAGGACAATTCCCTTTGAGGTTATTCTTGGAATTGGGGGGATTGATTTTGATATCCAAGATGTTTAAAGACGTGAAACAAGAATTTCTATTTCCCTTTATTCCAGCCATATTGATCTTTAGACGTAATCTATGATACCGATAGGTGTTAGGAGAACAATAAGTATGAAGGAAAAAGTATCTTTTTTCACAAAGAAAGCTATTATCTTTCATGTTTAAGTCTTTGTTGCTTCCACAATTCATATTATTTTTTCTGAGAAACTTTCATTACGGCACCCTTACGTTTGGCTTACTTATTAAGCAGATTTGTCCAATTTTGACTTTTGGTTTTGTTGTATTTTAAGGTTTATGGTCATCTCAAAGTTGTGGAAGCAGACCATATATAGTAATTACTTTATAATGATGGCTGGTCACTATACTAGAGTTAGTGAAGGGAACATTAATAATATCCTAATCATGCAAATAATATGATTAGTGAATTTGGGTGTTTTGTTTAATATTTAGATATATATTTGGGAGCTTTTTTGTATTCTAAAAGGAAAGACGTAAATTGCCATTATTTATATGCATTATTGCCTTAACTTTTGTTTAACAAAACCTATCTTCACTTGCGTACAGGTGACACTTTATCAAAAGATCTATAATATAGTTTCTTAACCATATTCCAAGAAAGAGTAGAAGGCAAAGTTATGCAAACATCTACAGTAATCCCTTCATTCATCAGCCTCCCTCTTTTCATTTTCATAGTAGCAACAAAGATTAACCAGAGGAAAAATGTTAGCGAAAGTGGATTCCTTTTTGGAGTATTTAGTTAAGAGAGAGAATTGTTTAGAGACTTGGTATTATTGAATATTATTAGTGGACCAATGTGGTGGGTTAAGGGGGTAAAGGAGAATTTGCTGTAAAATAATATGCAAAAAAGAATTTGCTATAAAATAAATAAAGCAAAAATAAGAAGATCGATAACAAACACACCTCAACAACAACAACAACTACAACAACAACAACAAAGCCTTTGTTCCAAAATGATAATAATGAACATAGCTAAAATAGGATAATGCAAAAATACAGACGAATGGATGGAGGGTAATTCATTGACACCCCTTTGATTGGGAACTTGTCCAAAAACGAAGAACCTTTATGGTTTGGCTCTTCCTTAGGATCCTTGCCGTGCCTATGGACAGTAATGCTGGTAGTAGGGCATGTTTCTTCTAGTAGATTTAATTAAATATAGTTTTAAGTTCTAACCCATCCCCCATAAGTTGTGGAAGTAGGCTCTGACCACTAAGTTAAGTAGCTTGAACCATGATCGTTGGAATTATTTGCCCTTTTGTGTTACAATGTGGTCCTATATATCTATTTTACTGTGTACTCTATTAGGACTAATAGAAGTGGTAAGGTGAACTATATTTCCTTTGTGAGACTAGAAACTTATATTGAATTATCTGTCTATTTCCAACTGTGTCATAATAATCTTTAATTAGTTTTGGATATCAATGAACTGAATTAGAATCTATTTGTCGTTTAAGGGTCAATTAGAAATGACTCTATTTTTGTTATCGTACGGATTAGGAAGTGTGCATCTATCCAACACCCTTCATCTTGCATTATGATGCTAGAGCTCTTAGCATTATAGTGACGTTAATGTAAACGTAGGTTAGAAAATTTCTTGATCAGCTCAATTTCTTTGAGTTTTGGTGGAAACTGCTTGATAACCATAATTACTTAGTATACGAGTTTCTTTGATCTCATTTCTCTTCCTACCCCAACTTCCCAATCAAAATATGGAAATTTTAGTTTCTTACATGTATGTACTACTCACTAGTCACTAATACCCTCTTCCCTTTTCCACCCTCTTTCAATGACTTGGTATTCCTTCCCTTGCACCCTCTTCCTTTGTCCAAAAGAAGTGTTAAGTAGTCTGTATACACTTCTCTCTAAAAATGACAATTTGCATGTGCAATTCTCTTGCTTTAAATGGTTTAGTATGTGCTGTATTTTCCGATTGCTGAGTGCAAAGTTTTGGTTCTTGCTTACATATAAAAATGTCACCTTTTTTAGGGCAGATGCAAAATATAGGTATACATTTTTATCCATATTATTATTCCATTTAATCATCAGCATTGGTTGTTGCCGACTTTGCCAGCTCCCATGTGCGAATCTTATTGATGAATTCATTTGCTTCACTTCTTCTATTTTGTTTTTGATTGATTTGGAAGTTGAATTTTCTTTATGTTATTTGTTTGGTCTCAAATTTAAATAACTTTGTATTATAGTGAAGAATCTGATTTTACTGAGGTGTTTGGTACTTAGTAGCCCGTAGGAAAGAGTAATTTGGACTTTGAATCCTTTTTGACCTTTTAGTTTCTACTCCATACATTTATTTTTGAGCTGTTCCTTTTCATCTATTGATACTTCGGATTATTTACTCTTTTCGTTTTACTCTCTCAATGTTTAAAAATAAAAGGGTAATGATATATGTAGTCTATGTATAACCATTAAATATACTTTTTAAAATGGAATTAAGTTGGGAACTTAATCATTTATGACAAAATCACGGTGGACCGGTTTAGTTAATGTTAATCTTTCCTCATTATTTTCCTTTTTAGCTTCTTATAAATACAAGGGTGATGCTATACATAGCCCTTAGGGCTATATATAAGCATTGAATTTACTCTTGGAAAATGTATAAAGTTAGGAATTCATGACAAAAACACGCGCAAATCGGTGTAATTAGTGTGTTTTTGTCATGATTTTCTAAATTTAAACAATTTTCAAGAGTAAATTAAATGCTTATATGTAGCCCTTAGGGCTATGTATAGCATTTTCCTAAATACAATAGCCCTTAAGGCTATGTTTATCTTTTTCCTTAAATAATGAAACATTTTTTTTTTCTGTGTGTTTAAATAAATAAAATGTTTCTTTTTTAGCCACCTCTCTATTTTTTAAAAACATTCTCTCTACTTTTAAATAATATTTTATTAATTAATGGTCTCTACAAAACCCTTTACATCTTTTCTCTCGTCAAACTTATACTTCACTGCATATTATTTTTGATAAAATTAACCAACTTTTCTAAAATAATCATAAAAGTAAAAATGTTTGATTTATTTAAATACAGAGGGAGTATTACTTTGGCAATTACTTTTGTTAGGTATCCTATATTTACTACTCCATATTACCATTATATTCTATATTACCTCATCACTTACCTTTATTAGGTATCTCAAATTCGTCAATCAATTACTTTGTAGATAATTTGTGTGTAGGCAAGTGTGAGAACTAGTGAATAATGTGAGAACTATTCACTCTAGAAGACTAGAACTAGTAAATGGTAATAGAATATTTGAAATTTGGGATTGATATGCTTAGTTCGTGATCACCATGATGAGTAATATATCTTAAGTATCTTTGCATTGACTTTGGCCCCATATCAAGGACTTAGTACGAGCTCTTGCTTATTAACGACTACGAACACTAATGAAGTTGAGAGTTGAAGAGGGTCTTAGACCTACACCATAACCATATATTGGCTTGTAGTGCACAATTAAACTACTATTACTAACTAACAAGTCACAGGCTCACAGCCATGGAAAGGGGCTTTCCTTTGGATGTTGGCGCTTTCGCTTGTTTTACGTTTGAATTGTTTTTCCCCCTAATCTGATTGCGGATGAACTCTATAGTGACTTAAGGCTTCGCTCTATCCATTGAAAAGTGATTATCCAAATCCGTCGAAATTTATCTTATTTGAAACTTATTTTGATTGAAATTGGGCGATTGGACTCTATAAGTCTATAGTATATAGATAATACTACGTATACACTAGTGTTGATACTCTTCTATGGATCTAAATATAAATTATAGAAAATGACATATCACTGTTGAAGAAATACTGGGCAAAAAATTAAAATTTGTCTAATCAAGTAGGCAATTTAAAGTGGGGAAAATATAATGGAGCCAGTCAACCTACACCATTTGATGAATCAATTCCCTGTCTGCTAGGTTAACACAGTTGTAGAAATCTCAAACCTGCCCTTCTTTTGTCCAAGATACCCATTATTAGTAATCCATCCCTTTTAGCCTTCCTCTGAAAAATTAAATATTGCTGGACCCTTAACGGGCCCCCCTTTCTCTCTCCTCTTCAGTGTAATTGATCTAATCACTTATTAATCAGGTTGATGCTTAATTGCTTATGCCTAAACTCTAAAAGCTCATAGTATTACAAATATCTTATGCATCCGTTGTATATCATACATTGTGCAATCAGATTATCCATCAACCAAATCAAATAGGTTTATGCCCTGTTTTATTGAGTTGTTG